CACTTTTAATAAATCGTCTCTGAATTGCTTTAGAAAACCTAATGCACTCCAAACACTATGTAAGTAGTTACTATGTCGCATTGCTTAGTGACAGCATTGAGAAAAAAGATTTTGTACATTTAGTACAGATGCAATTTTTCTACTTTGTGAATATTTCTGACCCATTTGTCAACTGAATCCATGGGGAAAGCGGATACTCAACTGAATCCATGGGGAAAGCAGATACTCAGAACAGCAATTTCTAGTAACCACTGAATGTCTTCCATGATACTATGTCTTATTAGCTATTCTCCAAACAGATGGATATCTAGCTAGAGTGTAACTTTAAGAAGTAACTCTTTGTGAGGCCAAGGAATGTGAGAATATCCTACAACATTACACATAAATGTCAGTTCTAAAAGTAGGTAGTCTCCTTCTCCACCTCACAGTTCCCCCAGTAGTGAGGAACAGGGGCCTGTTGAAGGTCCTCAGGACCAAACTTTTAGACGAAGAATTTCCGTAGCTCAAGTTGGAGCCAATTCCCCTCTCATGCTCCATGGGCAGTGAACCACTGCTTCTCATCTGCACTGCACATCGCGCCAAGCTTTCCTGGCTACTCCTTCACATAGAGCAGGAAGCATTTCCCTCTGGGTGGGCTTACCCTGACCTCTCTCTCCCTGTTGGCTGAATCCCTGGCAATGTGCATGGTTACTCTGGATATGACAATGATGTCTGATGTCTCCAAGACATCACATTTCTTTCTCTTCCCAAACCTGGGGCTTGTGCAAACAACACCTAGCTAACCGTTAACACTTTTGAAATCCTCTGATTTAATAATATGATAGTTCTTCCCCAAAATGCTGAGGACTCTGCCCTGCCCTCATGTTTGATTGAAATCACCTTTCATAGTGAAGGAGTCCTGGGGTCTTTGACATGTCTTCAAATTAATTCAACACCAACCTCCCACCCACCACACACATACACCATTGAGGAGGTTCCAGAACATGTTTCTGAAGGCCTCTTCTGTACCCAGGAAGATGTGAAGGAAGATCCTATCCTTCCGCCTGCCTTCTGCCTGAGGTAAAATACTTGACTGAAGAGCAACATGCAGGTGTATGAATCTAAAGTTTCTTTATAACATTGAGCTGAACCAGGAGCATTGGACACAGTGCAAACATCTCAGTCTCAGATACTAGAGAGACTAAGGCAGGAAAGTGGCTTAAGCCCAGGAATTCACGGTATGCTTAAACCACATTGCAAGACTCCAATTAGAGAGAGAAAGAGAGAGAGAGAGAGGGAGAGAGAGAGAGAGAAAGAAAAGGGAGAGAGAGAGGGAAAGAGAGAGAGGGAGAGAGAAAGAGGGAGAGAAAGGGAGAGAGAGAGAGAAAGAGAGAGAGAGAGGGAGGGAGAGAAGGAGACAGAGACAGAGAGACAGAGAGAGAGTCAGCTTGGACAACTGGAACCACAGTGCTGAGTCCCAGTAGCTCTTGTTTTTGCTGACTTCCTGGAGAAGCCTATGGAGGGTCACAAGCTGTTGCACACATGTGGTCACTGGCAGATTCTAAAGCATCTTTAACAGGAAAGAGCAGCAGATTAAAGGATCTGCAACTTGGAAGACTTGGAAAAAATTATATTAAGTGAAATAAGCCAGGCCCAAAGAAACATAGGTCCCATGGTTTCCCTTATTTGCAATAACTAGTATATGTCTGAGACAAGCAGAAACGTCAGATAAGTTGATGCTAGGTGAAATGAACCCCAAGATATATATGCAAATGTTTTTTTCTTTCATACAATTGTTTCTAACATATTTATAAGATGATTTCTTTGTTGCTTTGTATGTCCCTCCCCCACAATATACCCCCTGCTTTCACTGTATTTGATGTTGATATAATTTGTGGAGGGGAAGGGAAAAAACAAATCATTTAAGTAGGGATACAGGTGAACCCATTGCAACAATGAGATGTACAAGTTGTTATGTCAAAAATGAACTTTACAACTTTGGCCAGTGGTGGGGGTGGAGGGGGGGGATATGGGAAGGGATGGAAAGTGGAAACAAAGGAGGAGGCAACAATGCTTGATAAGAAATGTACTCATTATCTTGCCCATGTAATTGTAACTCCTCTGTATGGTATTTTCACAATAATAAAAAAAAGATACACTGGATTTTCTTTTCTTCCTCAAGAATTTCATGTCACCTCCATGCAGAAGCTTAATCCAGTCAGTGAGACAGAAACCAGATCACTGAAGCCAGTAATACAACGGAAGCACAGTTAATCATGAATTGTTGCCCCCCAGAAGACTATGTACAAGGAAAGGGAGCATTCTCCCATTTCAGGAGAACTCCTTTCATGTGAGCAGTGGCACACAAAAGTGCTTCCTTCCTTCCTTCCATTCTTCCTTTCTTTCTTTCCTTCCATTCTTTCTTTCTTTCTCTCTTCACACACACATACACATATACATATATACTTCTAAAATAGTTGTACAAAGGAGTTACCATTCAGCAGATCAGGTTATGAATACAATGCGTCTTGAGCAATGTCACCAATAGAGTAGTTTCTGTAAGTACCTGCCAGCCACTATACACCACCATGGTTACCTTTTTTTTTCTTTTATGCCAGTTCCAGGACTTGAACTCATTGAATTCAGGGCCTGGGCACTGTCTTTGAGCTTTTTTGTCCAAAGCTAGCCTCTCTACCACTTAAGCCACAGTGTCACTTGCAGCTTTTTCTGAGTAGCTTATTGGAAATAAGAATCTCACAGACTTTTCTGGCAGGACTGGCTTCAAACTGTGATCTTCAGATCTCAGCATCCCAAGTAGCTAGGATTACAGGCATGAACCACAAGTGCCTGGCTTATCATGGCTGCTTTTATGGCATGATGACTGAGCTGAGAAGCTATGACAGAGTCTCCTGTACCAATAAAACCTGAGAGTATCAACACCTGGTCCTCTATGGCCGACTCCTGATGTAAATTAGAAATTGCCTGTGCTGTTTGTTCAGTTTATCTCAGGATAAACATCTGTGAAAATATGAGATGATTTGACCTCAGGGACACAGCCAGGAAAGCAGCGGGTGACAAAGGCAGATCTAGAAGACCGAATAGGCATGGAGTGGTTTCTTGTATATGCCTCCTTCCCACATACCCCTGGCAGGAGATGGTGGTAGGTAGGATGTGTTTCTATTCACTTGTGGCCTGGCTGAAGAAGTGGAGAGTACTCCATGCCAGCACCTAGATGCCAGGTCACTCAGGATGGACGGCAGGGCAGCAAGGTGCTCCATATGTTGCCATCAGAGCTGAGCCCATGTGTGGCCAAGACTCCAGGGAGAGAAAGATAACTCTAGGTCCAGAGAGGTCAGCTATGAGGAGCAATGAGGAAGTCTTAGGAGATGAGTCTGGCAGAAACAAAGGATACTGAGACAGTAATTAGACATGTATCCCACCAGGGGGAGGGAGACCAGACAGGTAGGTGAGCAAAGAGAGAGTCTAGGGCCACACTACCCGGCCATCACACAGTAAGCTAAGTAATGGGCACTCAAAAACCTACGGTTTTTGGAAAAAAATGCTTGATAAGAAATGTACTCACTATCTTGCCCATGTAATTGTAACCCCTCTGTACAGTAATTTCACAATAAAAAAAACACAAAAAACCTATGGTTTTTGGATACTTTCCAAATGTATAGAATTCAAAAGAGAAAAATAAGAAGAAAAATCTCAGAAAACACAACTGTCTCCACTAAAATAGCCAAATCACATCATGCTGTAGATGTAACTGTCACACAAACACAGAGAAACTCAGTGTACTGCTCTTTACCATAGAGTGGACATCTCCTTATAGCATAGGCTGGGGAGAAGGAGTATAGGATTCTTGCGAAATTTATATAGCCCATTATATCTTTAAAGATTGTGGTAGGAATCGTCTGGAATGTCAGTCACCTTCATCACCAGGATGTTGTAGTCTTGGCTACAGCCAAAGGCCCAATCCACCCCGACTCACTTCTCTTCAGGTAGGACCTCTTTAGTGAAACCAAAGCAGAAGCCCAATGGGTGACATGGAAGCCAGAAGAGACAAATGTTCACACAACATTGTCTTTTAATGGCTCCCTCCATTTGGACAGGAGGTTCAAATCATCAGGCATGGCTGAAAGATCGTAAAATGCTCCGGCATTCATGGCTCAGTCCTACTGACCACCAGAGCTATAGATCTAGCTTTCTCTACTCAGAAGCTGTCTTGTGGGCATGGGAGAGTACTCTTCAATTGAGTCTCCCTCTAGTTGCTCCCTCAAAAAGAAAAAGGAAGCAAGAGAGAACAGAGAAAGAAAATTTGTATGAAAAATGATGTTTCAACTCAAGAAGAAAGTGACAAAGACTGGGATTTGCTTTATTATCATTATGAGACTGGATTACTGAGGGGCAAACACAAAACTCTCCAAGCACAGACTGCAAGACACAGGTGGGAAGGTCCAGCTAGGCTTCAGTCAACAATCACACCCAAGCCAGTGAACTTGAGTTCATACTTGTCGTCAGGAGGCTGTCACTGACAGAAAGTTTGCATGTCCTTATGGATAACTTCTGTGTGGTGATGGTGTCCTTCTCTGTCTCATACATAGCAGGGCTGGCTTCAGCAGCTTGCCATTATTTCAGGGAGAAGTTCCCAGGCTCTATTAATGTCCCCTTTATGCTCTCTAGATGAGAAAAATCTGACTTCAACTTCTTCTCAAGTAGCAGATGGAGCAGAATTTCAAGGAATATCTAGGCAGGTAGCCATTGTGGCAGTTGTAGTCCGAGAGCCAAAGAAAGAAGATGAACAGGAAGAGGAAAGGAGACATGGAGCAGGTCATTGTCACCACACTTGAGAGATCCAGTCTTTCATAAGTGAAACTGGTGAACCATGTTGATGACAAACTTTGGTTCTCAGGGCATGCTGGTGGCTGCTGACTTGTGAAGTAAGGGCTATTGCCTTTATAACTAAGGCCCAGGGGTAGGAACTCTTGGTGCGTGCCACAGACCCTTTAAGGAGATGTCTAGCAAGGTATTGAAGACAGCTTCACCTCCAGTATGTGTCTTTTGACTGCCTGAGTAACAGCCTTATTGTTGACCCATTCTTCAGACAGGCACTGGTACCTCCCTCTGTCTTTCATGGAGAGGTTGGTGATGAGCAGGTTTTTCTTCTCTATAAGAATGTACTTATCCTCATTAGTTTCTATCACATGATTCTGGAACTGCCATATCGCCCGGGCCATGTTGGACTTTAGGGAGCATCTGAGATATGCTGTGCTACCAGTGAAGGAAATATGCCACTGGGAACGTAATACCCTGTCACCTAGAACATCAAGAGAAATGTACATGTTAACTCTGTTCACTTCCTCAACTGCTTTTAAAAGCTGATGACAGGGGTTGGGATAGTGGCTCAGTGGTAGAGTGCTTGCCTTGCATGCATGAGGCCCTGGGTTCAATTTCTCAGCACCACATAAGCAGAAAAAGCTGGAAGTGGTGCTATGGCTCTAGTGGTAAGAGTGCTAGTCTTCAGCTAAAGAACTGAGGGATAGCGCCCAGGCCCAGAGTACAGGCCCCATGACTGGAAAAAAAAAAGAAAAAGAAAAAGAAAAGAAAGAAAGAAAAGCCGATGACACAAGAGTATCACCTGCTGGAGGAAGATGGAACTTCAGGACAACTGAGAAGATAAAGATATAGATGACCAAATGCAAGATGACCCCTGGTTAGCAGAGCTAACTCAGATGGCTCTGAGTAACAAAATTCCCACTTCTCACTCCAGGAGAAAACATACCTACACAGGGAGCGCGAGCATTGAGCAGCTGTGCACATCTAGCAGCAGAATTCGCAGCCCAATACAAACTGCTTCTTTCTAGCACTTACAGGGAGGCCCACATTCAATGCGTCATACGCTTCTTTTTAATTTTTCCTAACCTGAAGATTGCTATCTGCTCAGAGAAAAGAGGAAGCCAGGCATAGGCCATCTTAATCTGCATTCAAACTTTGTAGCCATCAGAACTAATTATATGTGGTGTGTCTCTTGTTTGAGGTGTTTGGGACCAGAAAGATTTTGGATTTCAAGTTTGTTCAGATTTGGATTTTGTTTGTACATGTGTAATGAGACATATCTTGGGGGTGGAGGACAGGCCTTCAAACATAAAATGTATCATTGTGTTTTACATATTTTCTTATATACACAACTTGAAAATAAATTTATATAATATAGTTAATAATTTTATGTATGGTACAAAGATCTATGGTGTGGAATTTTCCAGTTGTGGTGTCAACGGGCATTCAAAAACATTTCAGATTTGGGAACTTTGGATTAGAGCAGCTCAACTTGGCCTCAGGGACTCCCTTTCTTCCCATTCTTAACAGGTGATAGTTTTAACAGGCTCCAGCTGAGCAGAACAGAAAAGAAGAGAGTAGGAGACAGAAAAGCTTTCTGGTACAAATACACTCTCTGTAATCAGAGGGGCATAGGAGATCACCGGTCTGGCACACGACAGGTGACCTCTGTTCAGAGTAGAGAAAGAAAACAACACACACACACACACACACACACACACACACACACACACACACACACACACACACAGAGGTACTAGTACCGGCATATGATTGGACAGTATCCAGTTGCTGAGGGGATGGTACAATGGAAAAACTCACCTGGACACGAGGACACATTGCCATTCAAATCCTGAATCCAGCCCCTACAAGACAACAGACAATAATCACTCACTGTACATGTATGTGGGTACTTGCATGAGGGGCCCATAGTCCATACCTGTTTGGGCCTTGGGTTTCATGCAGAACCTCACAGGTGCCCTCAGTTGGGTTCCAGGCACAGTAGGGGTCCCGTGTCAGCACGCAGTCCTTGCAGCTGCTGTGCTTCCTGCAGAAGGCCAGGGGGACCTGGACCACTCCTGCATTGGAGCCAGCATAGATAAACTTGCTGCTCTGTGTAGGAGACAGAGACAGAGCAGGTGTAAGGCAAATCTCATGGATGGCTGAGACTCTGAGCATCTTCAGGAGTTTGGCGTGTACTGCATTAAGTGGGAATGTCCTATCTATGTCAGAACCAGCCAGCAGAGAAGGCTGTTGGGGTCCAAAGCTATTATCTATTATAGTTGTGTGAAAAGAAAAGGCAGTGTCTGGTGTCCAAGAAGATAAAGGTTCACTGGGCCTTTGATCTGAATCCTCTAGCCTGAGCGCCCCCTGCCTGCCAGCCTGGCTGTTTGCAGAGGGTTCTCCAATGCTAGCTTCTTTTCTGGGAGAAAAGTGATCATTTGCCTTGTCCTTCAGCTGTCCTTATTAGCCTAACACCCTAGGTTGTCCTGTTAGCAACACTGCCTATGAAACAGCATCACATCTGGAAGCCAAATGGCACAGCCTGAAGGCCAATCTCATACTTTGTGTCAAAATATGGACACCTGCAAATAGGGCATTGTGTCATTAGAGCCTAGGCCCAGGATCCAGGTGTGAAGACACCATGAACAGTGTACTAAGAATGAGCAGAAGGCTGGTAAGCCAAACCGATGGCTTTTACTCATCCTTCTTTGTGAGGGGGAATCAGCTGCTATGCTCCAGTGCAGACCCATTCAGAGCCAAGTGCCTCCAGCCTCTTGTCACCAATTCCAGGTTAACTTGAGCAGCCCTCCTGAATACAGGAGATCAGGACAGGTGGTTGTATCTACTGAACATAGTCTGAGAGAAGGCACATGTAGGGTGACAGTATACTGTGTTTCCACTCTCACAGTGGGAATTTTGTTTCACTTTAACAACCTAGTAAACCTGAAACTGGTTGGGCACCTGTGGCTCAGGCCTGTAATCCTAGCTACTGGGGAGATGAGACCTGAAGTGTGTGGTTGGGAGCCAGCTAGGCAGAAAAGCGTGTGAGACTCCATCTGTAATTAAACAGCCAAATGCCAGACTGGAGGCATGGCTCAAGTGGCATAGTACCAGCCATGAGCAAGCAACCCTGATAAGAATTTGAGGCCTTAAGTGGCAGACTGTGTGCCAACACACACACACACACACACACACACACACACACACACACACACGACAAGTATCAGAGAATCACCAGGTACATACAAGTTGATATTTTAGAGTCAGACAAAACACAACCATTACCCTCATACAACACATTCAGGATAGGGTTGTGAACACATGTGATCAAGTACAAATGCAAAAGGAAGGAGAGCACACCACCCAAAGGTGAAAACTGCTATACCCATGGATAGAAGACAAGATCTGGCCCAACCTCACTTAGCTGCTCCTTCAGTGCAGACTTGGTCTAGTATGTTCCTAACTTAACTCTCTCAGAGATTCTGGGGGAATCTCATGACTATGCAAGTGTGGAAACACATCCTGAAAAGAAGACTGAACTGGATCCTCTCAGGGCCATCTCTGCAATGTCATACTTCGGCAAAACAGAACTGGTGGCATCAGGCTGGCTGAGGAGCCCCACCCAATGCCTCTGTCCAGTTAGAAGAGGTCTCTAAGGATAGTTTGGAAGGGAATGTGGGCTGTAGGAGGGTAGGTTCATCCCAGAAAGCTTGTATCCTACAGGACCCTCATCCTTGATTCTCCCTGATGGGCTGGACTTGAGCTCAAATGGAACTAAGTTGTGACCACTGACATCATGCATTGCACTGGGTAAATGTAAAAGGGAGAGAGAAACAGCCTCCAACAGGACTGTGAGCAGTACTTGCTGTGGACCAGGCACAATGCTCATGGTTAGCAAGGAAACAAATGCAGACACTTTCCTGGTATCAGCAGATGTTGGCCGGGTGCTGATGGCTCATGCCTGTAATCCTAGCTACTCAGGAGGCTGAGATCTAAGGATCAGGGTTCAAAGCTAGCAAGTGAGACTCTTATGTCCAATAAACCACCAGAAAACCAAAAGTGGCACTATGGCTCAAGTGGTAGAGCAGTAGCTTTGAGCAGAAGACCTCAGAGACAGTGCCCAGGCCCAGAGTTCAAGCCCCGTGACCAACAAAAAGAAGAAGAAGAGGAGGAGGAGGAAGAAGAACCTTTCACCCCATATCCTCAATATCTTATGGAGGTTGATGTAGTGTTTGTGTAGAACCTACATAACCTCCCCTCCACTTTAAATCATCGCTAGTTGGCTTATAATGCCCAAGACAATGTAAGCACTATATAAATAACTCTCATACCATAATGTTTGGGGGATATTAACAAAAAAATCTACAAATGTTCAGTATGCCCCCAATTTTCTCATTCATGTTTTCTTATTCTAATTTTCCTGAATTGTAAAATGTGGAACCATGGATATGGAGTCCTTGGATACAGAGGACCAAGTATATTTCATATTTTAAAGTTCAGTCTCCTAAATCAATGAATGAATGTGAGTTTAACATATCCCTACATGTTCTTTGCTCTTCCTACCCTGGAAAATGAGACCTAGTCTTTCTGATGCCTTGTGTGCGTGATCCAGACATACTGATACATGGGGCAAGGAAAGGATACCTAAAGAGTTGGACAAAGAGCATGGCTGAGGGCACTTCCCAGGAGGCTTATGCATAGTACAGTCCTATCAGGTTCCCTCTTCCCATTATGATCTCCCCAACCAATGATCACAGAAAACACTAGACATGCCACAGGCCCTTCTTCAGGTCTATGGAGGCAAGGACAGACACGTGCAGACTGCTACTCGAATCTCTCATGGGTTCCTATTGCAGACAATGTGATGGGGAGGGCAGTGGAGCAGGCCCGAAGCCTGACAGGTGATCCTACACCTTGCCTCTGTGACATGCATGCAAGACAAGGCTGGTGGGAGTGTGAGAATCCTGCAGGCCCTCCTCGCTGAGCTTTTGAAATGCCAGCATCGTTTCCAAATCATATTGTAAATGGCACAGAGAAAGCCATGCTGGTAAAAAAAAATTAACATGATTCCATCTCTACAAACCAACTGCAAGTGGTGGTGCACATGAAACTTCTCAATTACAAAGCAATCATAAATAAGGTGAAGGAGTCCAATCAAACCCAGGCAAAGTACAAGACCCTCTTTGAAGAATAAGTAGAGGACCTGTGTGCCAAGCATAAGGCCCTGAGTGCAACTCGTAGTACTTGCAAAAAAAAAAAAAAAAGACAATAGCCAGGTGCCGGGGGCTCATACCTGTAATTCTAGCTACTCAGGAAGCTGAGACCTGAGGATCATGGTTCAAAGCCAGTCTTAGCAGGAAAGTCTGTGAGACTTTTATCCCCAATTAACCACCACAAAAAGAAAACCAGAAGTGTTGCTGTGGCTCAAGTGGTAGAGCACTAGCCTTGAGCTGGAGAGCTCAGGGACAGCGCCCAGGCTCAGAGTTCAAACCCCTTGACTGACAAAAAGAAAAGAAAAAGAAAAAAACTGACAAAAATTATCCAGCCAGGAGCAGTGCAAAGCATTAGTGGGTTGTATGGAGCTGTGGCCACCTCACTGGCCACCACCCCATTGCAGTCTCCTACATGGAAGCACAAGAGGTTTCTGCAGAGAAGCCAGGAATGCTAACTCAGACATCTTGCACATCTCCTGCCCATTTGGGCAAGGAGCAAGAGACAAAACAGTCACAGAGAAATGTCTAGAATAGGAAGGCTCACAGCTTATCTAGGCGACTTTATTTATTTCCCCCTCAGAAACTTTGAGTGAATAGAGTTTACAGTGGCTAGGAGGGAAGGGGGAAGCGTAACGGGAGTTTTGAAGGCTCAGCTTCTCATGCTTCCTGGACACAGATATGGGGAGCGGATGGGGGGCTCTAGAAGGATGCAAATACATGTGGGTCTACTGAAAGGTCAGCTCTGTCCCACTGAGTGGATGAGGATTGATAGGACCTCACTTGTGCCATGTGCCCTGAGCAGACATCAGCTCCAAGAAGACAGCTCTGCACAGGAGTGCAGAAGCTGCCACAAGCTTCTCTGGCACACTGAGATTCTCTGCCACGTAGAAAGCCATACCAACCCAAAGAGCTTTGTACTCCAGAGCTAGGATTTGTAAAAGAGTACCTTCAGAGACACTGCATGGCAGAGCCAACTGAACACAAGAATGGCCCAGGTCACATAACTAGCCCAGATCAGTAGATCTTATCCTGGGATCTGCGTATTGGGACTTCAGGGAACCCCATTAAGGAGAAGGGAATATATTGGAGTGACAGGTATCATGGCAGGCTCCTTACCCTGTGCCATCTCTTACAAAGAACAAGTGCTAGCCCAACTCACAGATTCTCAGCAGAAACTGCTCTACCAGACTTGTGTAATCCTCAGCTTTTACTCTTAATGTATAGTGAGGAAACTAAACACAGAGCACAAAGCTGGCCTTTCTGGCATTACTGGACCATATATGGCAAGTCAGGATCTGGAACTGCCTGTATTCCGCTTCTCACTGCTCCAGCCCAAGTATAAAATGGCGTAATAACTCTTGTTCCAGTCATGTGGACATTTGGCGGGAGATGGAAGCTGCAGCAACTGAGTCTAGTATATGTCTGAGTCAAGCAGAAAAGGTCAGATAAATTGATGTTAGGGGGATGAACCCCAAGATAAGTATTCAAATGTTTTTTGTTTTTTTTTCCTTTCATGCAATTGTTTCTAACATATTTATAAGATGATTTCTATGTTGCTTTGTATGTCCCTCCCCCATGGTTTCACTGTATTTGATGTTGGCATAATTTGTGGAGGGGAAGGGAAAAAACAAATCATTTAAATAGGGATACAGGTGGACCCATTGCAACAATGAAATGTACAAGTCATTATGTTGAAAAATGAACTTTACAACTTTGGTGTGGGGGGAGGAGGATTGGCTGGGGAGATGGGGGGAGGACGGGAAGGGATGGGAAGGGGAAACAAAGGAAGAGGCTACAATGCTTGATAAGAAATGTACTCATTATCTTGTCCATGTAATTGTAACCCCTCTGTACAGTATTTTTACAATAAAAAAATTCTTTCAAAAAAAAAAAGAGGGGCTGGGAAGGTGGCTCAGTGGTAGAGCGCTTGCCTTGCATGCCTGAGGCCCTGGGTTCGATTCCTCAGCACCACGTAAGCAAAAAGAAAAAAGCCGGAAGTGGCGCTGTAGCTCAAGTGGTAGAGCGCTAGCCTTGAGCTGAAGAGCTGAGGGACAGCGCTCAGGCCCAGAGTTCAGGCCCCACGACCGGACCCAAAAAAAAAAGAAAAAGAAAAAAAAAAGAAAAACTAACTTTACAACTTTGGTGGTGGTGGTGGGGGAGGATCTAGTGGGGGAGGGAGAGAATATGGGAAGGGATGGGAAGGGGAAACAAAGAGGAGGCAACAATGCTTGATAAGAAATGTACTTGTTATCTTGCCCATGTAATTATAACTCCTCTGTATGTATTCTCACAATAAAAAAATTTTTTTAAATCAAATATGGAATTCCTAACCACCAAATGTTTCTGCCCATCCCTCTAGCTAAAGAATTTTATATTTTTTAAAGGTTGAAAACGAAGGGATATTTTGTCATCTATGAAAAGTTTGGGCCATACTAGGCTTGGGGTTCAGCAGCAGGCTCATTCATTTAGCCACCTGTAGCTATAGGGCCAAGATGATGGCTTTTGTTTGGAGGTTGGCACTTTCCACCTCCAAACCTCCAAAACTGACTGTTAGACCCTCACATAAGACATTTTCTGCCCCTGGTTAGGAAGGAAGTAGGGTGTTGACATACGAGAGAACTGTAGAGTGATGTATCATTTCTCTTACCAGTTAGTACATTGATGTGTCTCTGTACAACCTAACATTCCACCTATACAATCTGCAATCTCACAGACTAGGAACATAAGAATTTTTTTTCACAAGTCAGGGAGTGTCTCCCATTGGTGGCCACCATATGCACCAAGGACTCGGTGCTTCTGTCTCTCCAGTTCTGCCTGTCTCCTTCCTAAGCTTTAAATCCCATGTTCCTGGAGCAGCTTTGTGTATGGTCCCAGAGACTAGATCACCTGGGCCAGGCAGACTTCAGTGGCCAAGTTCACCAACCAGACTCACAGACATGCAAAGTCACTCAGCAAGCAGTCGGCCAGTCTTGTTTCCTAGGCCACTTTACCTTCTTTGAAGACAGCACCAGGGTTTGGACAGGTTCGGATTTCCGGAAAATCTGGGTCTCCTCAATCATGTACACAACGTTCTCAAGTCTGATAATTTTGTGCAGGGTGCCCTGATCTGCAAGGTCAAAGCCAGGGGTCAGTTCGGCTGCCACAGGGTTGTGGGGGGAGGACATACACTTTAGACTCTGATCTCAGCAACAAAGCTCCCCCCATACTCTCAGTTCCTTGTTCAATGAGATGTTTAAGAGAATGTCATTGCATTAAGAATGAAGGGCATTGCAATGAATACCCTTCACAAAAACAATAAATTAGAAAATCACATTCGTCATTATTCTAACTTGTCTTGTGAAGCGTAAGCCCCCTCCAACTTCTTTCATCAATGAAGTTGACACTGAGACAGTGAAAGGCACATCCCACGTAAAGTGGCTCCTAGGATTCATTGGCTATCCAGAGACTCTACTCCACTGGGCCTATGGGCAGCCGAGAGTGGGACACACAAGTTAGCTGGGAAGCACTGTGGTAGGCTTTATGCTCTGACACCTGCCGAGGCTGTGTGCCACTGTCATTATTGGAAAATACTGGTTTTAGAGTGTACAGATGAGGGGAGGTGTGTCTCCCACAGGTGAGGACGTGGCTCAGCTCTCATCCCAGATTTCAGGGAGAAGGCCTACTGCCAGTACTTTGGAAATGCCAGGCTGATAAGTGATCACAATTGATGTTGGAATGCCTATCTCTTCCCTTCCAAGATGCTAGGGACTTCTTTACAGCAGCTCATCGCAGACACAGGCCAGACTTGCATGTTTAACAAGACCCACAGGTAACATGATGGTCATAGAGACTTGGATGTGGCAATATCTCAATAATCCTTTCACAGTGTCATCCACCACAAGGATCACATGATGAAAAATTCTGTATCTATCCATAAAGGTTTCATGTGAATTTTCCTTTTTCTTATGCTAAGATGAAACATACAGTGACTGTGAAGCCCTTGGATCTCACCTGTGCTGACAAACATGACATCATAGAATTTCCCATCCAAAGCCTGGGTCCTGTCCACCACAATCTGGGTGTAGGTCACACCTTTTTTGATAAACTCAGTCCTGTCATTTATTGGAGTTATTGAGTCGTCCATCAAAGGGTGATCTCTGACAAACTGTACTGTCTCATCTGGTAAATTCGTAGAGCTGGTGTAGTTGCTCCCACGTGCTTCACTGTTAGTACACTGTGAAGAAAAAAAAATCACTGGTTAACGAGCCTGCCTAGCTCTGACTTAGCCCAGCACTGGGAGTCAGCTTAGGTGCAGCACAGAAGGTCTTCGCAAAAGAAGGACGGTGGAAACTTGAGGTACCCTTCCTCCATAATCAGAGGACACAATCCTAAACTCATCTACCAGATAAAACTATGCTTTTGAGACATAACCAGGAAAGGAATTATCTATCGATATAAAAAAAGAACAAGCTTTTGAAATTGAAAACATCATAGGATAGCTTTTCCCTGTCAAGTATTGATGAAAACAGCATTGTGTTAAATAGTGTAAAAGATATGGCAAGAAGGATTGTTTTGGTACCAGCTTCTTGATGTGCATAAAACAATTTAATTCACACAGAAGAATGATGACAATGTCAGTGACAATGCCCTTCCCCTCCCTCCCTCCCTACCCTCTTTCTTTCCTTCCTTCCTTCCTTCCTTCCTTCCTTCCTTCCTTCCTTCCTTCCTTCCTTCCTACACTTGAACTCTTCTTGGAGAAGCTGTGAAGACCAGGGCACGGTTGATCCAAGATCCACAAAAACACCTATTTACTATTTGGTATACAAGAAGTAGGCAGCCAGATCAACTCTGGAAATTTCTATTCCCTTTACCTAAAATTGACTCTGTAGTAGGAAAATGCATGGCTCTTATTGAGTAGTGGACAAGATAGCTCAGATATGTGCAGAGGCCTTTGCCTCTGCCTCCCTCCCTCCTTTTCTATCCCTCCATCTTTCTCTCTCTCTTTCTCTCTTCTTCCCTTCCTTTCTCCCTCTCCTTCCTCTCCCTCCTCTCCTTCTTTCTTTCTCTTTCTCTCTTGCCTTTCCTTCTTCCCTTCCCTCCCTCCTTCTTTAATTTGTTCCTTCTCTCATTCCTTCTTTCCTCCCTTCCTCCCTTTTTCCCTTCCTCCCTTTCTTCCCTTCCTTCCTCTTCTCTCCCCCTTCCCTTCTTCCCTCCTTCCTTTCCTTCCTCTTTCATTCCTTCCTTCCCGTTCTCTTCCTTCCCCTCCTCTTCCCTCCTCTCTTCTTTTCTCCCTTCCACTCTCCTTTCCTTCTTTCTTTCCCACCCTCCCTCCTTCTTTTCCTTCCTTCCCTTCCCCTCCCTCCCTCCCTTCCCCTCTTTCCTTTCTTCCTTCCTTCCTTCCGACACTTGAACTCAAGACCTAGGCTTAGCTTTTTTTTTTTTTTTGCTTGAGGCTGGCACTCTACCCACTTGAGATACACCTTCAATTCTTGCTTTTTGCTAGTTGTTTAGAGATAAAAGCCTCACTGGAACTGGCCTTAAACAGGGATCCTCAGACCTCAGCTTCCTCAGTAAGTAGAAGTACAGATGTAAGCTACTGACAACTGGTAATTATATGTTTCTTGATAGAAACTTGAAATGAAATAGTTGTAATTGTATTATATAGTGTTAATTCCACAGGATGGTATGGTGAGACAGGTTTTACAGCACACAAAGGAAAGAGAAGGCCCAAGCTGGGATTGTCAGCTCTCAGGCTGAGCCTGAGAGTTGACCAAACAGCCAACTTTTGGCAGAGAGAATCATCTGACCAGATGACCCAGGTGCATGGGTTCTGTGTTTAGTTTCACCCTCTGGCCTGGACACTTGAATGGAAAGAAGAGCCCTTTCCTGAAGCCCCACCTCACTTACCGCGCCTGGCCGTGGGGTGGGTATTGGGCCATTGTAGGGTATCCATGTGGCCTCAAGCCCCATGTAGTTCCCTTGGGAGAAGACTTCCTCTATTTTGGACTGTGTGTAGGCACAGACGGCTGACAATTGCACTAGCCCCAACTTGTCCCTGCAAAGGAGAGACCATGTTGAGTGTTCACAGAGCAGCAGGTCAGTTAGGGGGTCATTCACACCACCTTCAAAAGGCACTTACATCTGCAGGGTGAAGAGGGCATAGAATATTGGCTCCTTGAGATCTGGGGTTCGCAGCACGAAAACATCTTGCACTGTGTTGAAGATCAGGCCTAGGTCTGGCTGGGAACAGATCAGCTTGGCCTTCAGGAAGGAGGTCCATCTCTTCTGCAAGTTTCTCTGGCCACCCACGTCACCCTGAAACCCAGAAACAGGACATTGCAGTGCCCACAATGATCCCAAAGCATGTGGTTTGCATGTAAATTCCACTGCCTTTGTTCTTGCTGGTGCTCAGCATGGTCCAACCTAGCTTTGTTGGGGAAAAACAATGCTTTGTTTTCTCTTCTGATCCATACTGACTTGAATCAGAATCTGCATCAAAACAAAACAAAATATAAAAGCCTTGTCGCTGAATGACAGCTGAAACAACCAATGGAGCTCTGGCTCCATGCCGGGAAGACTCTTGTCTCCTGTGACATTATAACCCTGATATATCAAACAATGTGTCGGGGATAAAGGAATATCAGGTAACCTCCAGTATTGAAACTTACCTTGCATGAAGATGTGGTTGTGATTTGAGAAATCAAGCCTCTGCTTCTATTCTACCTGCAAAATTATGGCTCAAGTAGTTTGGATATGATAGGTTTCTCTTAAACATTGTTTTTGGGGCCTCTGACGGAGAGACAGCTATGAAGGGTATATGATGTGTGGTCCGCAGAGAACTCATTTGAGACCCCCACACCTCTACCTATATCCAAGTTTTCTTTCCTGCAGTTTTGGTTCCCAGTGGTTTTCCACAGCCTCAGACTAAAAACATTCCTTTGAGATAGAAACCATATTCACATGACTTTTTATTGTAGTATATACTAGTTACTATTGCTAATCTCTTATTGTGCCTAATTTGTATATTAAACTTTCTATAAGCACAAGAGAACAGCATAGATGGATTTTGTACTATCAATGAATTCAAGCATCCACTGGGTTTGTGAAATGAATATCCTGTCAGTCAGGGGAGAATCGTTGAACTGAAAGAAGAAAATGGGCATTCAGAATACGAGATGAAAGCCTTGTTTATCCTGGACACAATGAAGACCCATCCTATTCTCTTTTCTACTGTTAAATCACCAAAGAACAAAAGATAAATGTTGACCTTCTAAGAGGACTTCAACTTCTGATGTTTAGTGGGGGAAATTTCCAGGATGTCTGTGGTCATTTTGCTCATGGGCTTTCAGGTCTTCTGGAGCAATAGAAGGTTGTGTACATAGGGTGAAAGAGACTAAGAGTTGTGTTTATACACAACTAGTCCAGCAGAAAGAACAAGTTCAAGACAAGAAAAGGACTCAGAAGGAACAACAGAAATCACTCCACATCTGCAGCTTGTGTTTGATTTGGTATAGGTGGAAGGCAGGCTAACAATGCAAGGCTAGCTCTCTCCTCCTGACAACCACAGAGCTGTAGAGACCATCTGGCTGGCCTCTGTTAAGAGTTCTGCTTATTTGTCACCTGAACACCTCACCACATTCCACAGCCTGGCCTGGACACTGATGGTACTCATTTCTGCAAGATGTGGAATGAGGCAGCCATGAGTAGAGGACAAACAAAGGACTGAATCATTGAGTCCTGGGTAGAGGTCTAGGCCGCTGGTAGAGTGCTAGGCAGACACTTCAGTGTGTATAGTGTTTTCTGCATTGTTCATTGGACTCCCAAGGGTACAGCACCTTGAAGTACCCAGTTGTGTAATGCACATATGGGTCTTTTCTGTGATGAGGGTGGCCCATGGTGATCACCACATCAAAGGTCCATGTAGTCAATATATGGTATTGATAGAATTGGCTAAACACATGTAAAAACTAAAGTTTTCTTATAATATCACCCTGCACCAGAATCAAGTCCAAATGGATCAAAGATCTCAAAGTAAAAGCAGATACCCTGAAAATATTACAAGAAGTAATAGGAGAAACACTAGGGCTCTTTGGCACAGATCAAAACTTTCTTAATAAAGACCCAGAAACACAAAAAATCAAAGAAAGGCTGGATAAATGGGACTGCATTAAACTGCAGAGCTTCTGCACAGCAAAGGACATATCTAGCAAAATATATTTTAAAAAACCCACAGACTAGAAGATCTTTACCAGACATACAATAGAAAAGGGTCTCATATCTAAAATATACCTACAGCTCAAGAAATTAAATTCCCCCGAAACAACCACCCCATTAAAAATGACCTTAAGAGAGACCTCTCTGAAGAAGAAATACAAATGGCCAAGAGACACATGAAGAATTGATCAACATCTCTGGCTATAAAACAAATGCAAATCAAAACAACATTGAGATTCCACCTGATACAATCTAACAATAACAGATGCTGGCTGGAATGTGGCCAAAGGGGAACACTACTACAGTGTTAGTGGGAGTACAAACCTCAACCACTCTGGAAAGCAGTGTGGAGGCTCCTCAAATGACTAAACATAAAGCTTCCCTATGACCCACCAATCCTATTTCTAGGAATTTACCCAAATGACCACAAACAAGGTTACATTAAACCCACTAGTATGACAATGTTCATTACAGCATTATTTACCATAGCTAAGATACCATAGCTAAGAACCAACCCAAATGCCCCCCCCAGTAGATGAATGTGGCACATATACACAATGGAATCCTATGAGTCCATCAGAAAGAATAACATTGTTCCATTCATAAGGAAATGGAAAGACTTGGAAAAAATTATATTAAGTGAAGTAAGCCAGGCCCAAAGAAATGTAGGTTGCACGATCTCCCTCATTTGTAAGAACTAGAATATGTGTATGATATTCTTAACAGGGGTTCCCAATAAACCAATTGCTTAGTGCATACGACTATATGTAATGAAGCATATCAACATGAACTCCAATTTATGGAAACAAGAGGTTCTTATTAGATCCTGATGTAGTTTGTTCTTTTTTCTCTATTGTTTTATTTTTTCTTTGTTTCTCTTCGTCTTTGGTACCTCGTGTTTTGCATATTAGATAATGCAATATGGAAAGGGAATCAGAAACAGCAGGACAAGGGATGAACCACAGCAACATTCATACTCATTTGGCATTATGTTGAATATGAACATTACCACTTGGGGAGGAGGAGAATAGGGAAGGGTAAGTGGGGGACAATGAGGGATGGGGTAACAATGATGAAAAACAAATGTACTTATTGCCTTACCTATGTAACTGCAACCCCCTGCTCATCACCTTTTCAATAAACAAAAAGGAAAAATAAATTAAAAACCAGCATCTCACGACTTCCATGGTGGAGAGGGGTGAATATGTGGGCCTGACTACTGCTGCCTGTGTTTTCTATTGGTTCTGATGGTTTAAGACCATCAGAAGATGCCTGAAAATGCCAGCTTAAGTACCTTGAGATTTCCTAACTCAGGTGCTTTTCTTCTAAGAACCAACTTTCACAAGCACGCTAAACCTTGGCTCATATCAAACGTTAAGACTGATCCTGACAAACATATCAATGTAGTACTGGCTTCTTAACCTTTAGTTGTTGGTTCATGGTTCACTCTCAGGATAATTTGAGAGTTTCAGACTATAAGATTCCAATTCCCATGGAATCTGGCAGGCACATTCGATGAAACTCTACTTCTCCTACAACCTGGGGAGACCTGAGGCCTGAGCTTGAGAACCACAAGCTACTAGACTACAGGCAGGGTGCCATCATCATCTCAGTATCCATGAACTACTGAGGGGCTCCTGACAACAAAAGAATAGCATTTTCCAGGCCCCTCGATGATGGCTGCTGTGACAGAAAGAGATTTGGATGGCAGGAAAAGGTAAATTCCCAGGCCTGCTTTCACAGGATGAGAAGCTCTGGGCCAGTAGCACAGCACTCACCTTGCACACTCTTGCAACTCGGGGGATCGTTAACTTGTGAAAGAAGTCATACTCCACAGACACTTCGGTAAAGAAGAAGTAGACCTTGTCATTGTCAGTCTCGGGCCCATCCGGGCTTTTTCGAATCACATCAGCAAAGACGAAGTTAGGTTCTGCAGAGAGGTGACACAGGATTGTCTTTGTACACAGAGATGTGTCACTGCCTGTTTCCCCATATTGGTAGTTAGTGCAGCCATGGAGGCTGGGAACCTTCCTGCAAGGATGCCTGGACTGTGTGTGCCATATTCTAAATGCTAGTGTTGGGAATGATGACAGTGCTGAACCTGCTCATTCTTGTGTCATTCTCCTCAGCCTTAGAGAGGTAATCCAGGCCATGGCCCTGCAAGACAATCACCCACGCGTGATAGAAACCTGCTGGAGCGTCTCAGCTGGTAGACAAGACTGTAGGTTGTTTGGTAGCCCCAGCTACTAAAGCAAGTGGCCCTCTAAGAGATGAGGTCAGGGTTCCTGCATACTAAATTCTTCCTGGAGACCAAGAGGCTTTGAAGGCCCAAAGTCCTTTAGCCACCCCGTCCCCACCTGCACTCCCCTACACATCCAAGAACTCAGCAGCTTCCTACCACCCACTCACCAAAGTCAGACATTTACCAAGTATTACTTGGGGGCATCAAGGCACCCTGATCCCATTTGACCAGGATGTGGAAGCTTGACCCAAAGGCTTCATCTTTAATTTCATGTCAAAATGACACTGCACTCCCGAGGTGAGCAGTCTTAGGCTTACAAACCCTCTCTTCTAGGGTGGGAGATAATAGCAGTCTTCAAACAGTACACTAAGGGCAAAGAATCCCATGCAGGACTCATTTCTATCCCTCACTAGAGCTGGGATACGGTAGGGTTCCAGTTGTCCCACTGCCTACGGGCTGACTAAAGCTCAGGACCCTCCAAGGATAGACCTGATGCACACTGCTATGTTAGATTCATTGTGTCTTACCGTATAGCAAATTGGTGTCATATTCTGTCCGCACAGGATGTACGTGAGAATATCGAGAGATAACCTGCAGTTTTCCAAAATAATCAGTTGATGTCCCCGCATAAATCTGTCCATCTATAGCAGCCCAGAAGTAGAGGAAGGAAGGAAAGGAATCGATTAGTCTTTCTACTGTGGTACCAAATGTGCTTCTTTCACAACTGAATTAGGTACTCTCACCCCCTCAAAGAAAAGAGACATTTTCCAATTTCTGAATGCTGACACAGCTGTCTACATCTATGTCTTTTCTTTGATGGAGATAGAATCAGGAGCCACCATAAGCTGCATTTTCTAATTTAAAAGGCAATAAGAAAACACAAGTGAGAACTTCCCACATCTACTAAAATGACAGCAAATACAGATGTTCCTCAATTTATCACAGGCTACATTTGATTAAAAAAAACCTTCCTAAGTTGAAAACATTCTAACCCGAAATGCATGTAATAAGCTCCTCTTTAATAGTTCATCTCTTCCCTGTAAGTATACTTAGAACACTTATATCAGTCTGCAAAGAGACAGCATTTCCTTACCCAAAGCTTGTTTTGTAAGAATGTACTAAGTATCTGATGCGTTTCACTGAACATTGCTTTGAAAATGAAGACTTATGTATGTATGGGGCATGTCATATCACCATAAAGTTAAAAACTGTAAATAGATATAATTGGGCATAGGACTGGGTGCATACAATGTACACAGCCTGCTCACTGAAGACATCTGAGACCACAGCAGACAGCATGGAGCTCCATAGCTCTCCTCCCTTGCAAAAAGGAATACACACACACACACACACACACACACACACACACACACACACACAATGTATACCAAAGAAGGCTAGAGAGTTGTGTACCACCATGGTAGTGATTGATTAGCTCTTTAAACAATGAACTCAAAACTCTTAAAGCGTCTGTACCGAGGGACCTACCACTTTCTGTATGGGCAACTGATGTTAACCACAGGCCAGGGAAGAAAAGACTGAGGAAGATATGGAAGCCAAGAATCCCATGCAGGACAAAACATGTAGCCATCACCTTTGGGAGCGAAGGAGCCTTAGTAGTAGAACTCACCAAGCATGACAGATGTAGAGCTATATGTAGGGCTGTAAGGACTCTTTCCTCTGCCATTTTCATTTATTCCCAGAAACTTAAAGAATGCTAAGTTCTACAATGGAATAAAGAGAAAAGGCTTCACAAATATCTGATTTTCCATTATAACAGGGTATCTTTGTTCCATTTAACCTTATAGATTCACTGTTCCTGGAAGACCAATAAGGTGGAGGAAATGGGCGCTGGACCACATAAGGCCAGCTTTCAGACCTGAGCTGTATGGCATTCAGCTCAGTGTGTGCACCAGTGCCTCAGGGTCTAACTCAGCTACCCAAGATAGCAGTCTCCTCATCTGGAAAATGTAGACCTAGACACTGGTAGCTTTAGGGCTGTTAGGAAGCCAGGGAGAACCAAATGCAGGACATGTTCAGCCAGTGACCAGAGTCTGTGTGCAGAATTTAGCTACCAAAAACACATGGAAAATGCCAGGATCTAGTCAATCAGGATCAGAAAGTAGAAATAAAAACAAGAAGCAGAATCTCTCCTTCCTTTCACCCACAAAAACATGTGCCAGATGGATCCATGTTCTTGGCAAACTCAAGCCACATTGAAAGAAAGTATAGTCCAATAATTCAACCTTGGTATAATCTCTTTATATACACAGGAAATTCTAAGATGTACATAGAATAAGATGGAACTGCTCAAGTACCAAAAAAAAGTGAAAATTCTCAATTGGAAAAGTGAGACAAATTGAAATGACGGGTAATGAATGTGGAGGTGAGAAGACACTGCTCCCACACCACAGGATATACAAGATGTCGTGACTCGAGGAAGGACAGTAAATGCTCTGCTCAACACATTCAGGGCATGTGGTCTTAGCACCGGCACTCAGTGGACAAGATCCCATGAAAGTTCACACCATGCGGTGACAACCCAAGCCCCACCAATGCGCTGGACAAGGACACACACCACAAAGGAACAGGGCCTTTCTTCAAAGCACATGGGGGCCTGTCAGCAGTCCACTTTCTAGAATGTTCTTCTAAAATTTCCAGGACCGCCTATGCCCTGATCCAGACTCAAGTCACACTCTTGGCTAAGGACAGTAAGGCTCAGAGGAGCACATGGCCTGCACTGCTCTCTCATGGCTTGGTGAGTCTTTCCAGAGAGGGGTCTTGAGCTGTTCCAGCCCTCAAACTGCTGGTTTGAGACAATGATAGTGCTTTTATGATGAAGTTTGCTTTGTGTTTTCCCATGGCTTCACTCCGTGTAAACACTGACCATTTCACCACACTTAAACACTCACAACTAATAGCGAAGTACCTGTGGACTTACCAGGTGGTCACAAATGGGCTGGTATGCATTGGTGCCACACACATAGAGCAAGTTAGCATTGAGGGGCTGCAGCACCCGGATAAAGTTGAAGCATTCTGCCTGTGGGGAGAGAAACACCATCAATAGCCAGCTATAGACACACACTCCATGTCCTCACCTAACGCCCACTTTTTACTGTCCTGCCTTCCCTTCTGACTTAATCACATGATAGCCTGCTCTTAGAGAGCAGGGTCTGATACCACAGCCACTCTGCCTAGACTTTAAGCTGGCACAATTTCACTTCAGTCTCTGATGCTTGGCAAAGACCTGGAGACCCAAGAAAGGAATGAGTTGACCTCAAAATTGTTCTAGAGAAACCATTGTAGGGAAAAATGTATTTCACTCTCACTCATTAAATACACACAACATTTCTTTGGTTACTAAACCTATCATAGTGGCTTATCATAGAAGGCCTCTGCTGCTCAGGGAATCCCAAGCTTCATTCCCATACACAGAGCTGGAAACAGCATTGTTGGGGGCCCAGAACACAGGCGGGGAGAGACTGGGTTGAGAGCAGCTGTGCTCAGCTCTTCCTCATAGAGGCCCACGCAGGAAAACAAAGATGCCATTCAGGAGCGCACATACTATATTAAGGAGAACACAACTTGGATCCTATTTTCTCCAGTCTGAAATTGTCTCAAATTAAGAAAGATTCTTTTGGCTGTGACTGTTTCCAAACTGGTGGGATGGAATTCATAATGAGCTCCACTCCACGGGGCAAGGAAGGTGGGGTTCCCTATCACTGTCTGTCCTCTACACACTGGGCACCTCTTAAATAAATTTCATTTCTCTCTAAAGAGCCTGCGCTGTGTAAGATTCCTTCAGTGTCTGCTGTCCTCTCCCTTCTTCAGGGAACACTAGGTTTAATGCCTGAGAAAAAGTGTTTAGCATTTCTCTAAGGAAGTTAAAGGAGACAGGTGCTGGTTGCTCATGCCTGTAATCTTAGCTCCTCAGGTGACTGAGATGTAAGGATTGTGGTTCAATGCCAGCCCAGGCAGGAAAGTCTGGGAGATTCTTATCTCCAATTAATCACAGAAAATGCCAGAAGTAGAGTTGTAGCTCAAGTGGTAGAGTGCTAGACTTGAGCAAAAGGAGTTTAGACCCAGAGTTCAAGCCCCAGGACTGGCAAAAGAAAGAAAGAAAAGAAAGTTGAAAAGAAAACCCTTGGGGTTAAAAAGAATCTGCTTTGCAATTAGTTGACACTTGTTGAAATTTGCTGAACTTCAGCTGTCACAAGCAATGATCAGGATCAACTGAACTCTCACAGTCTGGGAACGCAGATGTCTGCCTGGCACCAGGCAGAGACAACAGTGGCTCCGTGGGTAAGGATAACTCAGTGCTGTGGAGGGAAGGGACACTCTCTCAGGGCTCCCTGGATGGCTATGCCAAGGTGCTTAAGGGATGGGCTTCTACTCAGAATCCTCAAGTCTTCACTAGGGCCCCAGATGTAAGGCTTCAGGGAAGACCAGGCATCTTAAATTTTACACCATGGGTCAACGGGCATTTGAAACCATTATCCACAGTCAGATTCTCAGACTGAAATAAATCTAAAATCATATGAAGTAGAGCATATTTCCTAAGTTCCTACCTTATCTGTGCAGGAACAGAAGGAATGAGCTGTCATTGTCTAACAGAGCCCATCAGGACCATTCAACCACATACCATGCCCAGCTGCATGCAGAAGATGCAGCATTCATAGGATTCAACAACCAAGACATATCTGTGGGGCTTTGTAATAGGCAAAAGCACTTACTTCTTTTGATGGGTCTTTTCTTAAGCACTCTGTTCGGTTGCCTTGTGAGACCTTCCAGTATACCTGTTAGGAAGAATGAATAATAAATTAAAAATGGGGTTTAAATGCCCAGCTTCAAAACCACACAACAGAGTTCAGATCCCAGAAGTTGCTGAACTGGGGGGAAAAAACCCTTCAGATTGGGAAGAGGGCTGGGAAGCCATGTAGGGCTTTTCTGAACATCCTGAGAATCACAGCCTTTGGTTCACTATGAAAGCATAGCAGAAACTCAAATGTTCAAAGTGGAAAAAATTGCTTTTGTCAAAAAACGTAAACTTTGAAGTGGTTATTTCATCCTCTTTAACAGACTATATGCAGCACTATTCATGAAAACTAAGATTTGGAAATAGCCTTGGTGCCCACCAGTAGATGAATGGATGAAATACTCATATATCTACACAACGAAGTATGATTCATCCACAACAGAGAATGAATGCCAGTCACTTTCAGCAAAATGCATGGAACTAGATCATGTTCAGTGAAAAATCCAGACATATAAGGACAAAGACTGCATGTTCTCGCTCATATGTAGAAGCTAGCAATAATCAACCTAGAATTTCAGTAGTTAGGAAGGGTGTGGTTGGGTCAAAATTCCTAGAGCTAGGCAGGATACATTTTATGGCTATGAAAATATTAATTCCTATAATTAAGACATGCTAATTAAAAGGCGGCTTTGACACCAGTTTAAAATGTGAGCCCTGTAGTTGTCTCCTTCAGAGGACAGAGCAATTCTGATTCTCTACATGTGCTGGCAGCAGTGGACAGTGACAGTGTTCACAGCACTGTCACTCAGTGCTATTCTTCAGAAGATTTTCCATACAGGAGCTGTTGAGGTGGGGCCCACATTCCAAGGCCATCACAGGACAGAAAGGGAACAGCTCAACATGGAAGAGATCCCTAGGCTCCTGTCTTCTCCTACCAGGAATGACCATCAGTCTCTTCTTTGTGCGGTCCCCAAAATGAGAAGACATAACAATCTGGCCACACAGTTGTGGAGATTTACAGTCAGGAAACACTTGCAAGAGGAGAGCCCAGGCGAGGGATTTTTCCAAACTAACGGTGGGTTCCTACAAGTGTCTCTGTGTCAGATAATCCCCACAAGGTGATGTCACCACCACAGACATCTAACTGAGACCTAATGCTTGGAACAAGGTTCTACATAACTGTCAGTTTCTCTCAAGGATAGAAAGGGCAGCTGAATTCCTCATCCACCTGTGTGCAGTCCCCAAGGTCAGGGCAAAATCCACAACTGTATCAATTTCCTAGGGCCAGACAGGGCCCTGCCCCTGGTGAAAAGGAAAACCCAACTCAGACAGAAGAGTAGCTGAGTGAGAATTGAGCCCACAACACCCTGTGCTTGGTGACTTGTGAGATACATACTATTTCCAAAGGGTAAGGCCAGAAACTCAATGATGTGTCTGTTAACCAGAAAATGAGAATAAGGAATACTCTTGAGACAAAGACAGAACAGAGACACAGTAATTGGGGACAGAAGACACTCAATATCAGCCTGGACCAGCCTCACTCAGAGAAGAAAGAAATGATCCTAAGGCTACTAGGTCCCAGGAGCCAACCCAAGGCCTGCCTCTGGCCAATGATTGACACTGAGCATCAAAGAAAGACCCAGGATTGGGGGTGTAGCCCAACACGCACGAGGTGTGGTTCCACCCCCAGAACTAACAAATCAAAGAAAATAGACTTGGTCAGCATGAGGTGAAATCAAAATGTTAAAAGTCTCTGTGATTAAAAAAAAAACATAAAACCATCAAACCATCAAAACCTCTCTCTTGCCCTCTGGGTAGAATTAAGTCCTGAACTCCTTATTCTGAAAACTGGAAAACAAATCCAAGCCTGCATTTGATGTTCACATGTCACAGTGGCTCAGAAGAGAAGAATCTGTCTGCAGAAAGCGCCTGACTTTTCTGGCCCCTTATCAGGGCAAGTTCTGGTCCCAAACCATCCCTAGAGGAAGATAGGAAATGCCAGAGGTCTGCTTCTTCTAATGTAAGGATACAAGAAGTAATATCAAGGCTTGGACACAAACCAGAGTACAGAGTGGCTTTCACAATGAGGAAGCTGAAGCTGGCCGGAGGAACAGAGGTGGATAGAATTGATCTATCACTGACTTCCCCTGGATTTAGTCATATCTCTGAATAAACAAAAGTATTATTGAGCAATTTGGTGAAATTTGATTGCAAATAGTTGACTAATGGGATTGCACTAAGGAAAACGTTTCTGCACAGTGAAGGATGCAGTTATCAAGCTAAGAAGACAGTATATAGATTGGGAGACAATCTTTGCCAGCTATATGTCTGACAAAGGCCTAATAACAAGAATATACAAGGAACTCAAAAAATAAACCCTCAATCAGTAACCCAGTTAATGAATGGGTAAAGGAGCTAAATAGAGACTTTTTAGAAGAAGTGAAAATATTTAAAGAGAAATATTTTAGAAGTAAAAAAAGAAGTCAATAAATGCAAGAAGAAATGTCCAACATCTCTGACCAAAAGGGAAGTGCAATTCAAAACCACATTGAGAGCTCATCTTCAGTAAGAATGGCCATCATCAAGAATACAAACAACAATAAACGTTGGTAAAGATGTGAGGGAAAAAGGGATACTATTACACTGTTGGTAAGAACGTAAATTAGTGCAATCACTATGGAAGATAGTGCAACTACTATGGAGATTCCTCAAAAAAATAAAAATAGAACTATGCTATGATTCAGTGATAACCTTCTTGAACATTTTTCAGAACAAGTCAAGATGCTATAAAGTAACTTACAGAAGACGAATGAAGAGTGGAAATGCAGCCAAGAATGCAATGTAGATACTACAAAATTAAGATGTGTAAGAGACAAGGTTGGGGAGATGGGTGAGAATGGGTGAGAATGATCAAGATGCATTATATTCATGAACTGCTTTGTTAAAAGGCACCTCCTTTGTACAACTAAAAGACAATGCAATATAAATAAATAAAAAGACACTTGCACAAACATGTTTGTTGCATAATATTTACTATAATGAAGTTATAGAAACTTGCCCTGTAAGGACAAGTAGGTGAAGAAAATGTGATACATATATAGATTCATGAACATGTGTGCAATATATATATATATGTTCATCTATCAGGAAGGATGATATTATGGTATTTTCAGGGAAATAGATGGACCTGGAAAAAAATATATGAAGTAAGTCAGGCTCAGAGATAAAGCTTGTTGTTTTCTCTTGTATGTCAAAATTAGCTCTAAATTATCAATGTATGAAAACTCATAAGCATAAATACATATATGTATACACACACATACACACACACACACAATCAAACTGACAAGAGAATTGCATGTGCAGGGGTGGATTCCAGTGGTGTTACTACTTTGAGCAATTAACTGACAGTTTAAGCAAATGAATACCAGAAAGCTGAAACTATTTTTTTTTTGTCTGAGAGGGTTGGGGGTTTAAGAGGAGGGAAGTGGACAAATAAAGAAATGGTGAGCAAATATAGACATAATACTCAAAAATCATATGTGAAAATGGAATTAGGTAACTTGAGGGGCTGGGTGGGGTCCCTTTAGATCGGGGATGGTGGTGGAGGGGTAACACTGATCACAATGCACTGTACTCATAAATGGACATGTTGAATTGAAAACCCTTTGTTAAACTACTTAAAGAGAATAATTTTTTTAAAAAAACTGCACAGATGAGTGTGTAACTGGAATTTTCCTCAGTGCCATCAGTGGCAGGAAATATGTCAGATGGGAATGAAGTCTGGTCTGTGGAAGCTACACCGATAGAAGACGGATCAAACCAGTCTGTGGTCATGGGCACGGTGAAATTTCATCCACAGGGTTAAAGGAAAAGATGAAAATGGAGGGAGACTGGTGACCTTTGGTGGATATCCGAAATGATGTTGCAAAATGACAGGAGAGGAATGATGTTCTGAGAATGAGAAAGGCTACCTGCTTCAACAGGCTGCACAGAGCTAGGGGAGTGAGGCTCAGGACCCACCTCATTCTGCTTCTGAGAAATGTTGAGTGCATTCACTGCAAAGATGGCCTCCCGGGCCCCCACGTACAGTGTGTTCTGGTCTTCACTGAGCAGCAAAACTGAGTAGTTGGAGATGCCTGGTTCATGAAACTCCATCAGATCTACCTCTGTGGGAGAGAAGAAGGATCAGAAGCAGGAAGGAAAGACAGAGTATAGACATGTTGAGCCTGGATAGTCCATTCAGTGACTGTGATGGAAGGCTGTGCCCAGATGTGTTGCTGCCACAGAGGAGACTGGAAAGTCTCCATGGTTGACTTGCAATAGTGCCATCACCTGCCTGTCAACGGTCAGCTCACAGCTAATCTCTGCAGTGTGTGTGTGTGTGTGTGTGTGAGAGAGAGAGAGAGAGAGAGAGAGAGAGAGAGAGAGAGATGAGTCTGTGGCGCACCTTTCTTTTCTTTCCCTACAAAGTTCAAGCCCCCTATTCAGTGGCTTCTCAGGGAAACACAGGCCAGGTATCTTCACCTGACATTTCCTACCTCAGCTATGTGTCTTTCACTATCTATAGATTAGGTCTAGGGAAAAATAATACAGTGATTTAGAATTTTTTTTAAAAATGAGATAAAAAATAAAAATAAAAAAAAGAAAAAAGAAAAAATGAGATAAAGTCCCAATTTTGAGATAACTACATTCATGCCTGTGACTCAAAAGGATTGTACATGACTCGGTCTAGCCTGAACATCTCACCTCAACCTCCTGAGAGCTAAGATTACAGGTGTGCACCACCATACCCAACTAAGCAGTATTTTTAAAGAAGTTGTTTAGCTAGGTACTTGTTGTTCATGCCTGTAATCCTAGCTACTCAGGAGGATGAGATCTGAGAATCCCAATTAAAAGCCAGGCTGGGCAAAAGAGCCCCTGAGACTCTTATCTCTAGCTAATCAGCAAAAAGCCAGAAGTGGAGTTGTGGCTCAAGCGGTACAGAGCCACTCTTGAGCGGAAAAAGGCAAGTGAAAGTGTGAGGCCTTGAGTTCAAGCTCCAGTACACACACACACACACACACACACACACACACACACACACACACGTATAAAGAGTCATCTAATCTGTCTGTACTAGTGTTAATTCTAGGTTGTCTTTCACATATTTGTGATACGTGTCTATCTAGTTGGAATCAAGAGTTCAGGAATTGTCTTCAGTTCCTTATAGCACATTACTTCTCCCCCATGATGTTCCCTCTGCCTGCACTACCGCTTATGACTGTGTCACATTCATTTGAGGCTGGGAGCCCAACCTCCGGCGACTCTTCTCCAAAGCTGTGACTATCTCGCTGTAGCTCCATCATTTGTCCTACAATTTTTCTTATTAAGCCCTAGAAAGCATGAATAGTATTTTCTGAAATTCCCAGTACCCTTCAAATTGCCCAGCACATGGTAGATACCCAATAATTTAAGACAACTCAAAACAACACAGAACAGGAAAAAAAAAAAAAAACATGACAAGGCTCACTGCGCTAAGGCTAAGTGCACTCCAGACACAAGTTCTAGCTCTGAAAAATATCAGCCCAGACATGTCTAGGACATTATTCAGCATTCAGTATGGAAGTTCTCCATTCCCTGAGCCAGAGACCTGGGGGCCAAAACAGGCCCTAGGAGAAGAAATAATCACAGTTGAGACCAATAAGCAGGAACAAATGATCACGGTCAATAGTTCAGCTTTGTGTCCGTCTGAGGAGCTGTCCTTGCGGGTATGTAGAGCAGACACTTGCCATGGAGGATATCATTTCAGACATGACAGGGTTCTCAGTAGGAGGCTTCCCTTCAGGGTTCCCCAATTCCTGAGCAAGCTCTGTGTACTACATTTCCCAATACCAAAGTACTGCATAGACCACCTGATCACACAAAGACCCCACTGAGTACACAACAGGTCAAGGGCTGGGTACTCAGCCATCCATCCCGGCATCCCGGCATCCCAGCAACAACACTGGAATCTACATAGTCCTGCCCCTCACCTTCAAGATTCCAGTTGATGCGTGGTATTGGTCCATATGCTGTCACTGTCCCAAACGTCATCACGAGGGCGGTCACAAGCCCTCCAAAGAGGCTGTGCATCCTCATGGTGCTGCTTTAGGTGAGATGATGTTCACAGCTCAGGGCTGCGAGCTGAGATCTGGCCACCCTCACCTGCTGGGTGTCAACATCCACCACTGCTTTCTTACAGCCTGCAGACACACCATTGGAAGAGGGAAAAGCAAGGTTACCCATCAGACTCTGTGGCCACATGCTGCCACTACTTCTCAGTGTCTCCTCATCTCTCCTCTGCCACTTCTTTTGCCCAAGTCCATCTGCTGTGGAGCAGAAGTTGTAGGGCAGGGGCTCCTGGAGGGTAGTTGCCCAAAGACACAGGACAATGCTGGAGCCACAAGACTCCAGTACCTTCTCCCACCTCCACCTGGCATATGTGTCAGACTCAGTGGTGGGCCTGATTCAGGCTGCAGGGATGCAGGCTGCTCTTCACTGATGGGCTTCCTTCCTCCCTGGCTTCCATGGATGGTGGGTAACCAGACACACAGGAAGGACACAGAACCAGAGTTTATTTCCCCAAAGACCTAGATTTTCCATGTCCTGTAATGGCCATCAAAGGAAAATGGCCAGAGAGACTAGAGAGCTGCAAAGATGAAGTGTACCTTGGACATGATAAATTATACAGGATGCCAGACATTCACATTGAGATCAAAGGAGGATATTCTTAGGAGAGGATCACAAGTGCTCAATAGCTATGTGAATATGATCATATAAAATGATGTTTACTGAAATGAACTCCAAGAAGTAGAAACAAGAGGTTTTTTGTTATTTTTTCTCTTTTTCTTTTTTTCCTCCCCTTTGTTACAATTGTTTATTTCTGTATCTTTTGTCCTGTATGTGAGTTTATCTGTTTGGGGGAGGCTTAGGGAGAGCACAGAAGTGTGGGACAAAGGGTGAATAAATGCAGAAGTGATACTCACTAGAAACTATGTTTAAAATGAACCATATAACTTGGTGGGGGAAGGAGGGGGGAACTGAGAGAAAATGAGGGATGAAGATATAAAAGGAGGGAAGAGGTTACACAAGGCCCCCAGTGAATGCAGGGAGCAAATGTGAAGGAAGAAGCCGTGTTGGGGGGAGGCAGGATGCTCTCAATGTCTTTCTCCTTATGGCTCCATCCTGTCACGGTCCCACAGAACTAAGGGAACGTGTTTTCTTTTCTTTTCTTTTTTTGACTGTACCAGGGCTTGAAAACTCATGGCGTCTGACTCTGGCTTGTTTGCTAGGACAGTGGTTTTTCACTGAAGTTATGCTCCAGCCCAGCTTTAGCTGCCGAATTGGAAATGGAGTCTCGTGGACATTTTTCCCCAGACTTGCTTTGAACCAAGACTCTCCAGCTCGCTGCCTGAGGAGCTATGATCTAGGCATGAGCCCCCAGCACTGTTTTAGGGAAACAGTTGTGGAACAATATCTCAAAGCAGCCGTCTTCCCTACACCATTTCCACAGCCAAGTACAAGGCCAAAGAGGGAAAGCAGAAATAGATATGCCAGTCGGAAATAGTATCACAGTCTTCTCAGAATGAGGTATTGCGTCGATGTCACCTCTAACCCTTTCTGACTTTGCTTCGATATAATAATGCCTACAAGTTCCTTATACCCTCCATCCTGAAAACCCTAAGACCATTCAAAGCAGCATACTTGTGTGGTGTCAAAGACAAATAAAAATCAAAAGGGCTAGATACTTTTCTCAAAAGGTGGAGCGCTTGCCTAGCACATACAATCATTTTACATTAGTTGTTCACATGCATTTGATTATGACAGTTTCACATATATTCATATTCACCCATGTATTCCAATCAATCCCGCAGCCCATGTCCTTACTCTTCGTCACTTCAAACTCTTTTTAAAATAATTTCAGCAGGTTTTGTTGTTCTATTTTCATATTTGAAAAGCAACTGCTTTTCCTTTCTTAGGATTTAAAACTTCTGCAATTACATTATCTTGTATTTGATATCAGATTAAAAATTCTCTAATTGGGCATGGTTCCTAGCCCTCCCTCTTGAGAAGCTGAGGTAGGAAGATCATGAGTTCAAGGGCAGCCTAGGCTATACAGAAACACCTTAACTACCCCCCACCACTAAAAAGCCCCCAAATTGTGAAAAACCTGGTGCTTTCTACTGTAGTTTAGACCCACTCTGTAGCCATCCCTGCCAGTGTGTTCTTGGTTAAGTTTTGACCTAATGAATTGTTCTTCTGGTTGAATTACATGCATACATGTTCACATACCATATACCTTTACAAGGGAATACTCTTGGTACTCTTCCATATCAATGAGAATTATGTTCTTTTTCACCTTTCTTTCTTTATAGTTGCAGTACCAGGGGTTGAATCTAGGGGTTCACATGTACTAAGCATCTTCTGTGATTTCTCAAGCTGAACTTTCTCTGATGAGAACTCTCATCGGCCTTACTTCATGTTCTTTCTCATGTATCCTGACAGATTTTAGCTACACATAGCTCCTGGTTCTGCCCCATACTCCCCTACATCCTGATTACTTCAGGCCACCTCCTATTCCTTGCTGTGTAGCCTTCATCTGGCTCCTGCTACCAGAGAGGGAAATGAGTTATCATGTGCTAAGTGTGTCTCTAAGTCCCCCACCCCCGTTTCATCCTTTCTGACAGGGTAGGTGTCATTATCCTACTGTCTGGCTCAATCCTTCCAACTCCCCTGCAGGGTGTGTACAAAATGGGCTTAGCCTCCAGCCAGTTTTTCCCTAAAAGGTAACCCACAACATGGCAGGCACATGCCTTTTCCTTGAGCTGATGGAGTTTAAAAAAACACACACACAGCAGCCTAGTTCCAAGCCCCAAGTATTGTCAACAGCTTGCTCAGGATGTGCTCAATCTTTGTAAAGAGCAAACAAGTGTGAGAGCCAGACTAGACACCAGACTAGGCACTGCCTGCATCCTGCAGACCACTACCTTTCTGCCTGTGCACAGGTCCCCTTCTCCACCCAGGACACCCAGCACTGTTTCCCAAGGACCCATAGGGCATTTTCCTTGGAGACAGAGGCTCCAACCTTTTCCAGGGTATTAGTTGCACATTGTACAGGACTCCTGGTGTGTTGCACGTGCCAGTGGAGGAAGTAGATGATGCTATTTATCATACCACTTTCTTCTCCAGGCTGAGAGCCTCCTGCCCTGCCACTCCTGACCTAGCCCAGCTGCACAGGCAAGTGGAACCCCTCTGCATTATGTAGGTATTATAGTACAGCAAGTCAGGATAGGTCCAGGCTCAAGTGGGAATTTCTTTTAAAGTTTCAAAACCAAAAATGCTACTGTTTAGCAAGATGCTTCCACCACTAGCAGTTTTCTTGGAAATACACAGTCCAACTACAAAATAAGACCAGTTTAACCGGGCTTATAGACAAGACCCAGTGTGCAGGTTGCCTGAGCCAATACAAGGCTCTTTCTGGGAATGCAGTCTCTAGATCGTGGCTGTGCGTATGAGAAGAACCACCTGCTCCTGAAAGGCTGAGTTTCAACTTACTCCTGGCAGGAGAAGGAACACTGATCTGTGCGGATGCCAGGTGCCATCTTCCTGCTGAAGACCACAGAGTTCTGAACATGCTATATGTGTGTCACCTCAACCAATTCACTGGAAACTACCAGTCTGAAGAATCTCCAGGAACTTCACCTTGGTCCTTGGAATCAGGTAGGCAGCTTGAAACTCTGCCAACCTGTCCTCAAACTCTCAGCCTTAGGAAATCCTTTAGCCTCAGCCTCCTGAGAAGCTGGGACTACTCAAAAATCTGCTATGAAGCATACCTCTGCTACTTCTTCACATTCAAAACAAAATGTCCCATATCCCATTAGTAGCAACACCAAGGCATTAAAAGTGAAACAACAATACAACCCTCCAACTGCCTTGGACTGGAATGAACAATGCTGAGGCTACACCTCTCCCTGGAAGGCCTAAGCCTTTTCCAGCTGAGAGTACCAGGGTTCTCCTTACCCCGATGCAATTTCTCTGCAACCTTCGCCATGCTAGCAGACAGATTTCCCACTTGTTTCTAGTTTCCAAGTAGCCAAATGACCCTCTAGAAAACTGTGGCAAATTCAACATCGAATGTAAGGTTGATGAACTGTAACCAGTCATCTTACCTGGTCTTGTTACCCACCCTATCCTCCCTGCAAACCATGGAGGTAGTCATTCTTCTAGACTTCCGCACAAGGAGTCACAAATATGGGGAACAAATGAAGATCCTAAGTTCACAACTTTGAGGACCCCAGAAGTCTGACCCAGCACTGCTGCTGATGCTAAAGAAGGCGGGAAGAAAGAGGGACATGGCCCTGGCAGAGAGCTCTGTCCTAAGCACATATGTGTACCTGAGGTAGCAGAGAGGGTGGAGGAAGTGAGCTGTGTTAACTACCCCAAGTCACCCAATATTGTAATCACAGGAACCCCAGTCTCATACTCAGAAAACAGAAAATTATCCCATTCTTGTCTCCCTGGTATGCTTACCAGAGCATACCAGTCCTGGCAACCCAGATCCCTCGGCGATGGTACCTGACTTGGAATTCTGCAGGATGAATTCACAAATTGTGGTCTGCTGGCCCACAATAAATAGAGTGGCTCCTCCAAGCAGGAAATGCTACCATAGGTGAGGTGACTCCTAGTCTCAGTGTTGCATCTCTTTCCAATTGGCTAAGAAAAGCGTGAAGTTGAGAAAGGTAACAGTACGCATTCACCTACACAGTCCTACACTCACGATCAGTCATCTAACCCTTGCTGATACCTTGAGGGCAGCAAGGAAGTTGACTCAATGCCAAGACTGGGGTAGGAATGACCTGTGAACAAAGTGGAACTATTTTCCAAAAAAGGGCTCAAAATAGATCTAGAACATTCCTTTTGGGGGGGGGGAGGGGAGTCAGGTCGTGGGGCCTGAACTCTGGGCCTGGGCGCTGTCCCTCAGCTCTTCAGCTCAAGGCTAGCACTCTATCACTTGAGCCACAGTGCCACTTCCGGCTTTTTTTTTATTGTGAAAATACTGTACAATTACATGGGCAAGATAATGAGTACATTTCTTATCAAGCATTGTAGCCTCCTCCTTTGTTTCCCCTT